TATTAATTTTGGAATTTTGAATATTATTTACCATGTCTTGATGTCCGATTGGGCATATTCCTGGTCGGACAATTTAGGACGTTTGGAAAATAGCGTCGGACATTCCGGAATATACGGGCAAAATCCCATCACTGGCTGGCCCCAAGATCCATGCACTTTATTTGATTATTTGTTTATTTTTGCCATGTCTATATTCGGACCTGTCTGCAGGTTTATCTTGTAGAGTTTTGTTTTGCGTGTAGTACACCTACTATTAGTGAGTGCTAATATACTGAACCTGTGTGATAATGATAAATAATATTTAATTATGAAGTATTGGTTATGTTTAACAAAAAGGACATAAATACAGAAAAACAAATATCATCGGCAGTTGTCCCACTATATTTGAGTCAAATATCAAAATTTGAATGCTTTCCAAAAATATGATGATATTGAAAATTATATAAAAATTGTCGTATTTTGAAGAATGACTTATATGTTCTTCCAGTGAATTTTAACCTTATGAGATTTCTCTAAAAAAGCTGATAGATGACAAGTATTGACAAATATTTTCAAATAAGGCAAAATTTAAAAAGTTGAAAATCTGACTTCATTTTCAAAGGGGGGATACTCGGAAAATTTATATTGATATTTTTGGCTTAATTCACCCAATTGTAATGTATTCTGTGTCGAAATCTTCAAAAATAAAAAAAAAGTTACGCTCAGAATTTTCACTGTTTTCACTTTTGAGCTTAAAATTAAGCCATACGCATGCATGGTAGAGGGCACAATGCCTCAACATAAAAGTTGAGAAATTCAAATTGGTTGAAAAACAAAAGAGTTTCCTTTGATGTCTAATATTGGTCTATTTTCGTCCATGTCGTCAATTCCTGTTGTCATTTTTAAAGTTTTAGTTATTCATTCACGTTTCGAACTCAATACATTTCCGATGAGTGTTTACGGTACAACCTTAATCCATTTGATTGGCATGTGATGCCACAAGGACTGCACATACGATATACACTAATGTTACTGACAGTTCAATTAACATAGCCTACTGACTTAAAGGACAATATTGGTGCCAGTCATTATCACATATGTGATAGAGCTGGTTAAACACATTCCAAATATAATTTTAACACAGAGATCATTGCTACGATAGCGGAGTAATATAGGTTTCCTGAATCGGAAGTGACAAACGCCAAAGGAAAACACAAGTCATACCTCTATATAACTGACTGATGTGACGAGAGATAACAGATACACGGCCGAATTTCTGCTCACTAATAATTCCTTCCAAGACCAAAAGTTGTTATATGGGACTGTAAGAGGATACCTGACAATCAATAAAGTAATTGAATGTCATTAGACTGACACCATATTGTCCTTTAAGTAAACATTACCTAAGCTACAAATATACAAATTATGGTACATAATAACATTTGTGTGATTCAGCCAATCAGAATCTTCATAATCATTTGTCTCAGTCTAATGACGCTAATAATTAGGTCACATGATTTAGGTCAAAAGGAACTGTGGCATTCTAGCTATTGCTTTGCATATGCTTGTTTGAGGAAGGAATTGTGCTTATTTTGTGTTGCCTGCAGTGCTTAATTTCAACTATTTGCTTTACTTACTTCATCGGTGCAAACTTTTGTAATTAGTTCTGTGATGCTTTGTGTCGTTACACTTTCTCCTACTCTTTCCACGGCACTGGCACGATTCCTTTGTTCTGTTCATAATGGCGACTCTATAATATGGCAGCAAAGATCGCAGTCATGTGTTTACATCAGAGGTAACTTGGATAAAATGCTGATTGCACAACTTTGTTTACGCAATTAATTCTGTGGAGCTCCGTATCGGTTAAACTTTCACTTGCATACCACTTGCTCGATTCCTTTGTTTCGTTTTTAAAATGGTGGCTCTGTGAGATGGCAGTGGCTGCGTGGCATGGCACGACTTTTGCGTCATTAGATTTAGATACAGAGACATTTCCTGTGGTTCCGATCAAGGTCACGTTGTTTGGTTCGTCGTATATCAAACGTTTAATTCCTCATTTATGTGGTGTACATTCTAATTTACATTTGCCACTCAATCTGTGTTCTATTTCCTGTTTCGGCCATGGTGGGTTATGCATTTTGAATGACAGATATCGTATTTCTTCATTTGAGTTCGAACGATTTATGTGATTCGTCCGTGTCGCCGGATATTTGAGCACATGCCATTGTGGACTTTGCTTCAGACATTTTAGCTACGTTTTGTCCCCAAGGTGTGATAATAGCGCAACTGATAAAACGTAACGTGATTGTTGATGAACAATATAATGATCATGTTTGTCATTGTTGTGTGAGCGTTTCCCAAAAATAACTTTTTGGAAACATAGGTCGGGCTTATGTCAACCAGTTGCATACGTTTATGATTCGCAGGGCATTCACTTGTCGGATTCTGTGGGATGTATTTTGTTTATGAAAAGAATCAGAGACGCTTTGCTAAGACACACGAGATGGTGTCAATTGTTGTCACCCACACCTTCATTATCATAAAAACTACCCAGGCCTATGGAAATTGTGCCCTTTTGCTGAACTTTGGCCTTCCTCGCAACACTCAATGGAACTTTGCCTTTCTGACGCAAAACATTTGCTTTCTGTGTGGGCCGACCAAATATTTAATACAGGTAACGTTGCTCCCTTGATACCACAAGCACCCATACCTCCTACATCCATTTCCAGCCATGTGTCGGATAAGATTAAGGCTGATATTTGGTTGGACAGATTTATTGATTTTTCCTTGTTGTTGCCTGGATTGAATTCCAGTACACTTTCCTTAAATATTTTGGAAGGGGATGATAGTTCCACCTTTCAGATCTCATCATCCCCAAAGACAAAATTTTAATTTTTATGGACATTTATTTTCAAAAATTTCCACAATTGATATCCAGTTTATTGACATATTTGCAGTCTATTATTGATTTATATTCATCTTTTGGCGTGAGAGCATATCAATTTTATGACCACCAATTTTGTACGCTCCGCGCTACATATCACCTGCCCTGGAATCAGATGCATTCCGAATTGTGGCTGAAGGCATCCACTGTGTATGCCACAAAAAACAATGTTCCTATCGAAGGTAAAGCTTCTACCGCTGCACGGGGTCAACCCAATTCGGTCAATTTGGTGTGTTTTGATTACAATTCAGCTAAGGGGTGTAACCGTCCCCTTTGTAAATACCCACATGTATGCAGATTATGTCTTTATAGGCATCCTATGATGTCCTGTTTTAGTAAACGTTCGTCCCTGTCGAATACATGTATTAAGCCTTCTATGCCATCTCCGCTACAGCCTCAATTCCCGACTGCACCTCCATCATACCCTATGCCTCCATCACATGCTATGCCAGTTCCCCCAAACCAACCTAGGGCTACAACATATATAAATCTATCTAATTCTCGGCTTTCCTTTCGGAAAGGTGGTGCCTCTGCCAGCAAAAGTGCCCACCCCAATTGATCCGATTAGACTTTTTTCTGCCCTAGAAGGATATAACCAAGGGGATCGTGCCTTTTTGGTAGATGGTTTCACCAATGGATTTCGTATTCCATATACAGGCACACAACATTTTTCTGTAGCTAGAAATCATTCTTCCTGCTCTCAGAATTACGATATATTATTAAAGAAAATAAATCATGAGTTGATGCATAATATGTTCTCCATTAGGTGTTATTCCTAAACAAGAGAAGGGTGCGTTTCGATTAATCCATGATTTGTCCTTTCCATTAAATAATTCAATTAATGCTAGTATCTCAGAGGGACATACCATGGTATCGTATGATAATATTGATGATGTTGTTGCCATAGTTAAACGAATGGGTTGTTAAGACACAGTCAAACTTATCTCAGGTTGTACAAATATCTCACATTCAGCGGCAGATGCTTTTGGGCATAAATGGGGCTCTAATTTAGCCCAACAGGATTCATAGGTAGGGGTGGCTGCATGTTAATGATTACTCATGTATATTGCTCATTTTATTAATGTTTTTATTTTAATTTTGTTACAGTCATTTATTTGTTTATAAATAATAAATGACATTTTACACTATAACCAGATGTGTTTGTTGATTCTTTGATTGAGGCACACAAAAGCTAACACTATACATGGCAGAAGAATTGCTACAGACGGATCTTTCTCATCTTGAATTGTTATAGATTACAAACTTGTTACTGGAAAACTTTACTGTAAATTTTAAAAGGCCACATTATCTTTGTGTTAATGCGAGTTGTGAAAATTCCAGCAAAAGCTTAACGGACATACCGCTCCGTTTTCCGATACACAGCAGTATGTGGTCAATTTTTCTTTTGATCGTAAGGACACAGGAAATGTAGCCACAGCGACTGTCTTGGTTATGGCATTTATAAGTCAAATTTTAGATCCCACGTAAAATTCTAAATAGGATCTAAAATTAAAGCACTTTTAAAGTAACGGTGTTTCCTTTGCATTTTTGCTAACATAATACATTTTTCTGGCTAATCCATGGCAAATTACACTAGGGACCGGGTATCATTCAGATTTGATGAAAAAATGAAAACTGGGCACAAACTGGGCGTTATTTGATGAATCTTGAGGGTGTTTAATACTTTCTGCATGGCAGTCTATTAACTGAATATGTGTATTAGATTATAGATGGTAAGCTCAATTTCTTTCCTTCTTTCATCATATCTGAATGATACCCGGTCCCTAGTGTTAATTATTTAACATTTATGTGTAATTAAGAAACCAAATCAAAATAACAACATCAGATAATGTCCCGGTTGGATTCAATCGGATTTAAAACAGGCCTATCAGTAATGTCTTTGGGCTAGATCAATGAAATTTCAATCTTTCACAATATTGTAGCTTGCACATCACAGATCAACTCAATTTAACACTTCATTTTGGGGTTTAGCTCACTTAACTTTATTGGAACTAAGGTACGTAATTTTTATTTGTACTAATGTATGTTAAAATAATGCTATGATAACAATGTATACCTTTTTGACAATCTGTAATAATCTCTTTTGTAACTATATCTGTAAACACCGCTTTACATCTACATGGATCTATTGAACAGACAGCACATGGGTTACCAGGGCAACTAGCTCTACTACATACATCACTGGGGCATAATAATGGTGCACCACCTCCTGGACATACAACTGGAGCTAAAACAAAACAATTCAAATTTCAAGGACTTTGTTATTAATTTTTGTCTGTCAAGCCCTACTTTCCCATACATGTCTTTCTATAAACATCATTTGCCAGATAAAAATACATACATCCCGACAAACATCCAGTTCACATCATACTCCTTCAGTGTTTCGTATGATCAGAACTAATCCCATTTAACACAGCTGTAAAGAAAACAAATTTCTGTTCCAAATTATGACTGGTGAAAAGTCCGATTAACAACCAATAGCTAACTGTGTAACAGTATCATTACGCTTTAAACAGAGCTTCAAATTGGACCAAATGTGTTTAAATAACGTTATGTTATGACTCACGATTTTATTATGCCCAATTAACCAGTGCACATCAGAATATTGCAGAAAAACTAATTGCGTGACAAACGAGGCTATCAACACGGATGCAATGTAAACAATAATAGAGACCTTTCCCATCGGTACGAAAACGTCATCGATTTGTGTGTACTTGTGGCGTCAACCCGTAATGAGTGTTTGTCCAGTGAAAAATGTTATCATGTGGAGCTGGTGGAGCTGGATTCACGTAGGTATTTTCCACAATTTTCGAGGCCTTGTGTATATTGCTGATTGTGTAGAGTTTGTAGAATGTGCTCAGATGCAATATTCTGCTTGATTTCTTGTACATCTGCCAAAAAAATTGATTGCAAACTTTGCCTGGACAGAGCAGTTCAGGATTTGAAATTAACACCATCTAGTTATTATCGTACGTCAGATTGAGAAACCGTGTGTTAGAGGATATGAAAACGTAAACGAACATATGTTCGTTTTTGTACCGATGTGAAATGTCCCTACTGTTTGGAGACGAACAATACTTTCACCGTTTTTAATAACTTAAATCACCGTCCAAAGTTTTAGGGAAGACCCCAAATTAAAAGAAGGGCTGTCATGTTGCTGTACCTGGGATAGATTTGATTGAACGGCAAGAATAGACACAATCCCTCAAAAGGTCAAGTATTAGAAGCCAATCCAGCAATGGCCAGAGAGGGATTTCTCAGGCCATTGCTTCAGGAATATGAGTTCATCTTGACATTAAACAATGTCAGTGAATTCAAATAGAATATCTTGCAAATTTCAACCCACAGAGAACACACACGTTGGAATACATCTGTGACTCTGCCTTTCAAAAACTTCATTTTTGAACAATAACAAGAATTTTCACACCCTTTACACATCTAGACTGTAAAGCGTTCATATAAACAAGGGCAATCAGTATGGACAGGAAAATATAAGAACTATTGTCTAGGACAACTGATACCACTTCTCATTTGGGGAGTTCTCATAAGCAACACATTTTGCTATATTTTAGTATTACATGTCGTTATGCAACCCAGTTCTACACAACCCCACCATACTGTTTATAAACTATAGTCTATTACTTATAAATACATTCCAACACACAGATATGCGATTTAAATTATAGTCTATTACTCAACCATAGCAACAAGATCTAAACTTTCGTGTGTTACATACATAAATATACTCACACAGCAAAGTTTAACGTCCTATTGTTCTTCTCCAAACTGGGCTAATGAGGACGGGCATACAGTATAGTGTACTATGAGGGAAATTTTGCCCAGACAGCGGCACTACGGTCTACTCTTATATCGAATTCCAACTGTCAAGGGATCTTTAACATACATGCCAATGTGTACATGGGACCTCAATTTTTCATCCCATCCAAACGACTAGACAGTTGTCCTTGTCAGGCCCTCCACCTTTCTCGGCCAATGCAGGGATCGAACACCCGACCTCCAGGCTAGCGAGCCAACGTCTTAACCACTTAGCCACCGTGATTCCCCATAGGAATCGGATTTAAACTATAGTCTGTATGAGATTTAAACTAAAGCCTATTAAACATAAATGTTAATGCCAGTTAAATAGTATTATTAATACTTACTGCTACAGTCTTTATGTGGAGTTGCCTGTATAACTTTACATACATCATCTAGAAACAAATCATAAAATAATAATTTTATTTGTGTAAACTTTATTTTCGACCTGAGTAATGACATGTAAATGTGTAATGCTAATGTGTAATGTTAATGAAACAAACAGTTGCCATGCAAGATACACCCACATTTCGCAAGAGATGGGCAGAGAACAAGCTAAAAATAAAAGCGATTTTTTGTATAATCATAGAATTACGGTTCAATATGCACAAATATTGAAAGGAACCGAGATCTGGGATATAAAAATATATTTTAAGTTCCATCACAATCGGATGAAAATTATGACTTCTAGAGGGCCCACGACCTTTGTATAACATACTTTAACACTACTTGCGTACAAGGAGTGGCTATTTTGTCGGGCAGTTTCATTCCAGTTTTCACGAAATTCGAATTCAACCGTCATTATGGTGTAACAGTGATATATTTAAACGTTTTTTAAAATCGGATAAAAATTGTGACGTCTAGAGGGTCCACATGCCAAAACCCCTCTGTTTCATACAATCATGGGCCATAATCCAGGAAGTTACAGTCTGATATGCGCGAATATCAACAGGAATCGAGATCTTTGGGATATAAACATATAATTTAAATTTCATCAAATTCAGATAACAATTGTGACATCTAGAGGGTCCACAACCTTGGTATTACATATTCATGAAATTCGAACTCAACCATCATCAGGGTGTACGTTGGGTGATATGTTTAAACGATTTATAAAATCGGACAAAACTGTGACCTCTAGAGGATCCACAAGCGATTTTTTTCATACAATCGGGGCCATAATCCAGGAAGTTACACTCCGATATGCGCGAATATTGACAGGATCTAAGATCGTTGAGATATAAAAATATATGTTAAGTTTCATCAAAATAGGATCAAAATAGTGACCTCTAGAGGGATCCACACCCTCAGTATACCTACTTTAACACTATTTGCGTACAGGGAGCAGCCATTTTGTTCGGCAGTTTGGGTCAAATTTTTTCGAACAATCAGGGGCCATAATCCAGGAAGTTATGGTCCGATATGAGCGAATAATGGCAGGAACCGAGATCTTTGGATAAACATATATGTTAAGTGTCATCAAAATTGGATCAAAATCGTGAGCCCTAGAGGGATCCATTTTAACAATATTTGCATACAGGGAGCGGCCATTTTGTCGGGCAGTTTCGCTCCAATTTCCACGAAATTCGAACACAACCATCATTGTATTCGAACGTTCTTTTAAATTGGATTAAAAAAAAAATGTGACCTCTAAAGGGACCACTGGCTAAAAATCGATTTTTCAAACAATCAGGGGCCATAATCCAGGAAGTTATGGTCCGATATGCGCAAATATCGAAAGGAACTGAGATCTTTGGGTCATAAATATTGTAGCCGTCCTCGGTATGACATTGAGTCGACTTTGACTTTGAATAAAAGACTGTAAGAGGATATAAATAATAAGAAAATACAATAATTGTTAGGTGATTTAGATCCTTCCTCGACTTCTACAGGGGAATAATTCGGCTTTTATATATTTAAGGAACGATGTTTAATCTGAATTATTTTCTTGTTTTTTTGACAAAAAGACATTTAGGCTTTACAAATAAATCTTTTAAATCGTCTATTTATAATTAAGTGCTTTAGTTAAAAGGAATAAGATAATTTTTAGGAAAAAAACCACAAATAAATATAAGACAGAATGTCATTTTTAACGAGTTTAGCGATTTATACAGGCTTTGCCAAAGTGTCACATGGAGTCTGTCGACCAATGACATTATGGTATTCCCACGGCCTGTTTAAACCCCATGTAACCCATGCCTAGGAAGGATCTACTTTCACAATTACAAATGTACAATTTAATAAAACAAAAGCAATATTTCAAAAGGCAGTTTGGTTTATAACTGCCTAAAAACATATTATTTATCATTTAAGACCAATATTCAGTAACGAGCCTTCTTAATTAATTAATTATAGCCATTCCACCCAATGCAACCGTTCGCAACCCTTTGCTAACCCGTTGCTAACCCGTTGCTAATCTGTTGCCGTCAACGGTGCAACCTACCAAAGTGCTTAATATGCTTGAAATATTCAATTACAATTGTAAAGAGGAGGAATTACATTAGAGTTTAATCCTACAATAATATTGGACACAAAATTAGCCAGTATGCTTAATAGTCCTCACTAAGCATTTATTTATCAGCGAAACTATCATCAACAAGGCGTAGTAATCTAGATGTTATCTTGCCGCTCCTTGTATCATTATCATGTTTTTATGTGCGTGACAATCAAGTACGACCCTCATTAGTAGTTCTGGTGTTTATTTCCATGTTCATCATTAATAGGACTTGGACAAAGTGCGAGTGGCAGGACCGAAGTAAGTGACTATTATGATCAAACAACAGGTTTGTTGTCCACCATAGTTTCCACAAACGAACATTACTGCTTGTTAGTGTGTATGCAATATGGGCATGACAAGTAATTCTTGAACTATTATAAATGGTCACTAGTCCACCGGTTCATTAGTCCACCGATATCTATTATAGGGGTTGGGTTAGGGTTAAGGTACACTAGTCTGTGGGTTCATTAGTCCACCAATATCTATTATCAGGGTTAGGGTTCGGGTTCGGATTATGATTTTTGATACCCATATTTATAGTCTTTCTTATAGCGGCAGGTAAGTGAACCCCTCTCGGATGGCGATAACTAGACGGAAGCTAAATTCGGGTAAGGTTAGAAGGAAAGATGTCCTACCAGTCAATTAAACCTTGTATTAGGCCTATTTTGTTCAACTCATTAGCGTCATCGCTACACTCTAAACCCACGATTGTTAGATCTACTAGTTGTATGGACATGATAACTTAGGACACTTTCGTTTTATTTAAAGGGACAATAACACTCTTGCTGGCTTGACAGCTCCAGAAAATAAATAATAGCCTTATTCTAAGTACTAGATGTGTTAGTGTCCTACCTGTTGTGTAAATTACCCATTAAATCCTATTTTACTTGTCCAAAGGGTTCAAAAATATTTTTAAATCCAAGTCACATTTGAAAAGCTTTACATCAGGCTTTTCAAATCATTTAGTTGATTTTTTCCACTTTTAAATTAGGTGTGTTAAGATGAAATTTGTATCATCAATTAATTGGAATATTTTAAAATAGTACAATTTGTTGACCAGAATAAAGATTGGGACATATTATTCAGTTACAACAAGAGTGGTATTGAGCCTTTAAAGTAATCACAAAAAGGGTTTGTGATTCCCTCACAGAAACGTACCAGGTCTTAGGTCTGTACAAAGAGGTCAATAATCTAAAAACTGAATAACACAGGCTTCATTGAGAGTAGAAGTTGTTTAATAAATATATATAAATAAAAATAGCCACAAAAAATATACATTTCAAGTTTTATCAAAATCGGATAAAAACTGTTACCTCTGGCATGTCAACAAGCTAAAAACCTGATTTTTCGTACAATGAGGGGGCATAAGTTACGGTCCAATATATGCCAATATTGAAAGGAACCAAGATCTTTAAGATATAAACCTATTTTTCAAGTTTCGTTAAAATTAGATAAAAATTGTGACTTGTAGACTGTTCACAAACAAATATGAACGGACCTCCAGGGGCTACGACAATATACGTCCACATGAAAATGTGGGCGTATAAAAATATCATTACACCATTGAAGTAATGACCATGAAATCAGTAATGAATCATATAAATAGTAATTTGTATGGTAAAGTCTGTCTTATTTTAACAATTTCAACCAATGTTATTCACCAAAAACTGGTTCGAAATAATGGAACAACTCTTTGATAAACCTTTAATATTCTTGTACGCAAGCAGCAGGATTAATGATCAACATAAAATGGCTATAACCAAATTTTATTCCGTTTTATTTTTTAATTGTTTATTCAATTTCATCTTGGTTTAAAGACTTTGCTTTACAAGACGCAGAGATTTTTCTTGCTCTACCTGCCAATCGCAGCTTGAGAAACATAAAATCAGGGGCCATAATCCAGGAAGTTATGGTCTGAAATGAGCAAATATAAAAAGTAACCGGAAGCTTCGGGATATAAACACATGTTTAAAGTTTCATCAAAATTGTGACTTCTAGAGGATCCACAACCCTGGCATTACATACTTTAATACTGTTTGCGTACAGGGAGTGGCCATTTTGTTCGACAGTTTCGGTTCGATTTTCGTACAATCAAGGGTCATAATCCAGGAAGTTACGATCTGATCTGCGTGAGATCTTTGCGCTATAAACATACTTTCCAAATTTCATCAAAATCGAATAAAAATTGTGACCTCCAGAGTGTCCATAAGCTAAAAACGTGATTTTTCGTACAATCAGGGGGCATAATCCATGAAGTTACGGAACGATACATGCCAATATCGAAAGGAATTTTGGGAGATAAACCTATATTTCAAGTTTCGTCAAAATTTGATAACATTTGTGACCTGTAGACTGCCCACAAACAAATTGTGGACGGACGGACAGGGGCGACGACAATATACGTCCACATGAAAATGTGAGTGTATAAAAACGCCTTTAGATATTAATGGAGAGACCCATTAAATATATGGAACTTTTACACTACATCGGCACTATGTATTTACGGAATTTGAATGGTACTATATTTTATTTCTATTCAGCACAATTGTGTGCGACATGGTCAACAAACATAGAAACTCCACTTACCACCACAAGTAACTTCATGTCCAGCTCTATTGACAAACTTCACAGAACAGTTACTGCTACACAAATCAACAGAACATCTAGCGTCTGGATGGTCTGGACAGATTTTAGATGCACATGCATCAATGCAGTCCTTGTTAGCTACACTACTGTTACCTGGGCAAACTGAAATGAAAATGAAAAGACAATGTCATATAATTTGAATAAACAAATACCAACAATCATAAATAAAGTAAATCATTCTAGACATATTACGAAACTTTCTTTATCACTCAATATAATAATAATAATAATAATAATGAATATTTATATTGCGCACATTCCATCCAAACAGTATGCTCATGGCGCAGGTTTGTTTAGCTCTTCAGTTTTATAGTTCACTCTTTATAATATGAGATTTTAATTTTGATTTGAAAGTTTCCAAACATTGCGAAGTTTCCAAACATTGCGAAGTTTTGAGATTTACGGGTAAAGAGTTCCATAGTTTTGGCACACTGTGGGAAAATCGTCGAAACCCAAAGGATTTAAGTCTATAACTTGGTACTGTTAGAAGGTGATGATTTTTTTGACCTTAGGGTGCATTTGGGGATATATTCAGATAGCATTGAACTAAGATATTCTGTGGCTGTTCCATTTAAACATGCATGGGCCATACACAGGAGTTTGAAATGGATTCTGTGGGTGATTGGTAGCCAGTGCAGTTCTTTTAAAAAAGGTGTAATGTGACAGTTTCTGTCAGATCTGCAGACAATCCTGGCTGCAATGTTTTGCACAATTTGAAGTTTGTTTATCAGGTTCTGATTTATACCATAGAGTAAACTGTTACAGTAGTCGAGTCATGAGGAAACTAATGATCTGCCTAAAGTATGCGCAGCATCCTTTGTAATTATATGTCAAATTTGTCGGATAGACCGGAGATGGAAGTAGCAGACTTTACACAACTTATTGACATGGTTTTCCATACTAAGCTCAGAATCAAGATGGACACCAAGATCCTTAACCGAGTTAACAATATTTATTTGAGAGTCAGTGATGTGGATGGTAGATGCTGATTTATTAGAAAGCTGTTGTTTGGTACCAATAACCATGACCTCTGTTTTATCATCATTGAGTTTGAGCATATTATTGGTCATCCATGATTTGATATCTTTTGTACATAATGCGATTCTATTAAATGAATTCTGACGATCTGTGGAATTCCAGCTGTTAAACGAAAAGCAAACGCAATATAATTCTAAGAATTACAAGAGATAGCGCTGTTGATGTCATTTAATGGGGTATTACCACTTTTAACAACAAATAAATTATATAATTAATTTTATATATAACTAGGGTGGGGAGAATCACAAAACTTTCTTTGAAACGAGTGTTGTTTATGGCCAAATGATGCACTGAACATTAAAATGGCAGATTTGTTTAACTACGATGATGTTTCGGTCAATACTGATTAAAAATTCAAAATGGCGTCAAAATGTGTCGAATATCAAACTATCCTAGCTTGTAATAATATATCATTTTCTATGTTTTGAGGGTCGCTGATTTCATTTCTGGCATCAAAACAACTATAAGGTGTGTTGCTATCCATATTCGAAGAAAAAATCGTAAATTGTGCAGGCATTTTCATCATTTATAAGTACACACGAATGGATATAACCAGTGATTTTGAGTTGGAGAATTTGTTTGAGAATCGTATCTACATTCGTTGCAACATCAGATTCCGGTTTGATTGCATATTTTATAGATTGTTTGAGTTCCTGCTCTAAGAACTTCTCCATTTTATACTTTCCATCGACTTTTACTCTACGCATTTTTATGGATTGTTTGAATTCCTGATCTGAGAACTTCTCCATTTTGTACTTTCAATCGACTTTTACTCTACCCATTTGTCTGATATTATGAGCCGTAGTAGCTCTGAGGTGGTGAAAGTTTCTCATTCAAGTTTTCAGTTCATCTATAGAACTTGGCGTCAGAGGGCCGTTGTGTAGTTTACATTCGTCCAACACTTTCATCGTCTTTTCAGTCTTCTTTTTCTTACGGTCCTCCTTTTTGAGTAGTGAAAGCCTTACTGTTGACAGAAAGTTCTCCTCGATCCCTCTTGCATCTTTAACTAGGTCTGAGGTACCCACTATCATTGCTTTAGTCTCTCACTTTCATGCATTTCAGAGAATTTAGTATCCACAAGCAGACAATTTGTGGATAAAACACTCTTCCTTGAATGACATGCTACGCTGGTTTATCCACCCGATGCTGATATATAATTGTCCAGTTTGGCGAATTCTGATTCTGCACCCAAGTTGGTAATTGGAGCGAATTTCATTTTTTCTTCGTCCGTTATCTATAGTAATTTGAGTTTCAGCGAGGAAACAAACATACTTGTGTGCTAGCTGTCTCTTGATTGTTTCTATCGCCTCATTTAGAACTGCACCATATAAACGATTTTCCCCAGTAGTGACGTGACGTAATATGTCTCTGGTAGTCTGCAAGGATCCCACCGAAGCCCATTTGAAGAAACATGAAGAACTCCTTAAAAAATTAAAAGAGCAAAACCAAATTAAAGCTGATGTATATTACCAGTTGAGACCTAACCACCCACGACCACTATATGCAAGAGCAACAATCAAAATCCATAAGAATCCCATGAACAGTGGTTGTTTTTTGTATTTTAGAGGAGAGCCGAAAAAAGCTCCCCTTAATGAACAAATTGAAAAAATCGCTCCCCTAAAAAAGCTCTCCCAGTTACGATAAGAAGAGTGATTTAGAAATTAAGGAGAATGATCTGATATTAAGGAGAGTGATTAGTTGTTTGTATGGGAAATGGTTCTGAAGATCAATAACTGCGTGTAAGGGGTCATTCTTGGTTACATATAAATGATAATAAACATCGTCTGCTAAATAATAGCACTCGTAGTCGTACGGTCAAGTCAAACTTCTACTGTCGTCTATAACATACGGTATTCCAATAGAAATACTTGTCAACATTTCTAAATATATATAGCTTGTATAAATTTTGTTTAAAAACATAACCCCTATTCAAAATATAATCATAAACGCTTGAAAATTCCATCAAAATATAATCTATTTCTTCCAGAATTATTCTCATTAGAAATTTTCACGTGCCATCTCTCGTAATTTCTCACGTCTCGCGAGAGTTCTACTTTTCATTTCAGTTAAATTAACCAATGGTGCACAGGCGCCATCTATTTTTAGCAACATATTCATCAGAATTTTATTACCTTGTGCGATCACATTATACTAATCGAATACACCAAATAAATGTTCACAATGACAGCATGGTTGCGCTCAGAATGTGATTCTTTCACACTCTTTTGAAAAAAACAACAAATACATGTCCATGATTTACAAATATGAAGAGCGATTTTCAATTTTAAAGTGAGGGAGAAAAACCTCCCCTCGGTCGACATTTGGGTGCGCGACAGGCACTCGAGAGCGATCGCGTGCCTCAAAAAACAATGACTTCATGAAAGTGCGTCTACTAATTATGTTCTAAAGACTCAGTATATTATAATACCGCAAAATACTTGTTAAAATTACTGTCACCATTAGGGAAATCATCTTTTTCATTTATCAAAGATTCAAGCGATCTGTGTCAAAACCTGAAAACCATCCAAAAACCTGGCTAAATGATATCCTATGATGTAGTTGATTTATTCACTAATGTACCATGGAAAGAAGCCTTAGAAACTATTCGGAATCAACTATAACGACTAGACTCTCCAATTCACCCCACCCTCACAACTGAAACCATCATAGTTCTTATTGAAGAATGTATTAATTCCACATATTTTACTTGGGGAGACGATTACTACCAACAGTTATATGGTTTACCCATGGGCAGCTAATTATCCCCCTTAATAAGTGAAATCTTTGTGTCAGCTTTCGAAGAAACAGCATTAGAATTCTCCCCTATCAAACCTATATGTTGGTACAAAAGAGTTGATGATACGTTCGTTGTGATTAATGAAGATGACGACCCTGCAGCCCTTCTACAACCCCTCAACAGCCAGCATCAAAGAATTCAATTTACGATGGAAACAGAAAAAAAGTACAGCCTCCAGTTTCTGGATATAAACATTACTAATGACAGTGGTAATCTAAAGACATCCGTGTTCCGAAAACCGACACACTCCGACCAATACATTCATTTCAAATCGAACCAACTTAGCAGTAACAAAATATCTACTATTTCCACTCTTAACTAGACGTGCAATTAATATCTGTCATGAAGAAAACTTACCAGCTGAAATCCAACATCTTAAAATGTTTTTACCACCCTGAAAGGATACCCTGAACAACTTGTTACCAGCGTTATCAATAAAACCCACAGAATAAACCAAATAAACCAAAACCAGATCAACCACCAATAAGAGTATTTATTCCACTTAATGGTAAACTCACATACCAAATCAATGTTTATTGAAACAACAAGCTGGAATAGAAACCATATTTACTTAAAATGAAACGATTAAAGATTACCTGCGGGCGAATGGCAAACTGAATCCCATCTCCCCTCTTCCATCAAAAGGTTGCATTTACAAAATAGATTGTTCATGTGGAGAGACATATGTCGGCGAAACGAAAAGACCTCTGAATGTAAGATTGGCTGAACACAAATCTAAAGCTGTCTCGAATAAATCAGCCGTAGCTGCACACCTTAAAGCTAACAGACAACACAGCATTAATTGGTCAGATGTAAAAAAAAATTTAGAGAGAAATCATGCAAACAAGAAAACAAGATGGATACTAGAAGCTATCCACATAAAGAAAAACCGGCCTGGGCTCAACCTAGATGTTGGTATCTACCTACCCAAAGCTTATGACCCTTTAATTTTAAGTAATAATTAATGCCAGGAACTGTTTCACATCATAAGATATACTATCTTTTAGTCTTATATAATTCCAAATAAGTTTCCAAATAAGCAGTGATATGTATACGATGTAACTAGATCCATCATTTATCTTAATGTACATTATGTAATACTATTCCATGTCACAATGAAATAAGTCCTATATGAATATCATAATAATTAAGGTGTTTTTTCACCATTCACTTTATGCTCTTTGATGTCCAGAGACATATCTTATGGCTTCACCTAGTAGATTTCACCCATCATCTATGTTTTCATTAATTCCTCTTTAACCCTTTATCCGCTGTTGTTACTATATGTGCTATCATAATTAAATCTTAGTATAATTACTTTGATAACCAATTAAGCTAGGGTTTCATGATTGTTAACCTATGGTTTCTCTTATTATTGTTCAATGTACCTATATATAACACTGTCACAATTTTTCCTCATTGTCTGCGATATCACTTAGGTGGAAGCGGACGTTAAATAAAGCTATTTCACACACATTTTTCCTCATTTGTAATTTGTATGCTTGATAACGACCAATGAATTCTTGTCGAAACGTCGTGTGTATATAACATAGTGATTGTTATCCATAGAACTGTGTTGTGTTATATTATGTTCAATTGCTAAATGCCATTCAAAGATTATACCGAATCTGATGTTGCAACAAATGTAGATACGATTCTCAAACAAATTCTCCGACTCATATATCATATTCACTGGTTATATCCTTTCGAGTGGACTAATAAATGATGAAAATGCCTCCATAATTTACGATTATTGCTTCGAATTTGAATAGGAATACCTCTTATAATTGTTTTATGTTAGAAATGAAACCATCGACCCTTAAAACATAGAAAACAATATAATTATTACAAGCAAGGGTATAGTGTGATATTCGACACATTTTGATCAAAATCCGCCATTATTGGACGCCATTTTGAATTTTTAATCAATACTGATTAGATTAAAGCATCTTTAACATGGATTGCATGATTTGTCTTAAATTTTGCATACAACCCAAATTTGAATACCCCAAATTTCCGATGTATTTTCTGATCATAACAAATCAAATTGTGTAAAGGGTCTAATGTCTCTTTTATACCTAAAAGAAATAGCTGATAAGTCAAATTACCTTCAGTTTGTACTTCTGTAACAGGACCAGCCTCGTTGCATTCCAATGGTTCTTTAGTTAGTGATGAATCAAACATGACACCATCACGATTAACACACCAACAATAATTATCTTGACATTGTTTATATTGGTAATCCTTGTCTTCTGTACATGTGGGCATAAACACTCCAGACATACGTGGTTCAGGGTGAACTTCTGTTAAATATAGATTGTTAGAGAGATTATGTTCACAGCTTATCTGTCTAATTGACAAGATCTTGTCTTGATTCCTTGCCATTACTCAACTTTGTATTCACTACTTGTTGCAGCGATTGCAGTTTTCTATTTTTTTAGTTGTCGGCCCATTTAAGATCTAGTTGAAAACTTCATTCTTCTATATTTGAACAAATGAAATGGGGTTTAACGTCCTACTGTTCTATATTTGAACAAGAAAAATGATAATGACATAACAACGCTTAAAAGAATTACGAGCCCGGTGGTAACCTCTGTATCACTGAAAGATAACCGTATGTGAGTATTGGCCAAAACAAAACCGTTATCGATGTTTACATAGGAATTACTCAAATTTGTAAGTACTGTTCTGAATGAATATTTTACCAAAGTGCTAGAAACTAAAACTGGAATTTGATTAAATAACAAGTTGACAAAAATAGTTGTATTGCTTTTTGTCCTCTGTGTGTGTGTGTGTGTGTGTGTGAAACAATCTTATTTAATAATTTCTTCCACCAGTGTGGTATCCTGTTCCTGGTCAAAGTACTTACTAATACACTCTCCATTCAGTCTACATGGTCCTGAAAAACAGTTAGGGTTATCAGGTTGTATTCTACATTGCTCATTCACCTCACACTTGACATCCTGCAATTATAATATCCAACATGACTATCCAGCAAAGTTTCCATATAATAAAATAAAAAGCTCCTGAAATTTCTAAATAATAAATAATTGCCACTGAATTGTGATAGGTGGGACTGCATCCACAACAGACAGGTTTCACAGAAAAATTGGAAATCGTTTTTGATACAAATATACCACCATATATACCATCAATAAACACAGGTTACCAGGCAAATAAACATATGCCCACTGGCATCTATCTTATCTGAGCAGTTAATAAAAGTTTCCCTAATTAGAATTTTTTAAAGTTTTGATATGCAATTCTCAAGAACTTTTCCTAATCAAATCTATTGCACGTTGAGTGTTTACAATGACATTTCATTATAATTCTGGCGACTGGCTAATAAACATTTGAACAGTCAAAAAGAAATGGAAGAATCTCATGACAATGATTTGTTAAGCGATTAAAGAGCAAGAGCAATAACTCTGCCAATAACCGATGGGGTTCGATGACTAAACAACGACAAGTTTGGAAGAAATGGCAAAATCATTAAATTGCATTTTCCATTATGAGGACAATAACTCTTAACTTAAGAATAATTGATGCACAACTCAAAATTTGGAAACATCTTAAGAAACTCCAACATTGAATTTAAGTAGGGTTCATGTCTGCCCCGAAAGTTTTTTTTTTTCAAACAGCTAATTTCAAAAGATCTGACTAGGACAGCAATTACAGGAAGTCAAACAGACACCAAGCTTAAAAATAATATATGACCACATTGACATGTAGACAGATAAAATAAATCTATTATTTGTTTTTTTACCTTACAGGGATTCATTTGTTGATTACCTAAAACAGACAAAATATATCAATCTTCGTTATGTTGCGAATTAAACATTTATGGGGTACATTATATTATTAAGGTATATATTTTATGTTACTTGTATACATGTCTATCATTTATATAACACAAAATTTATATTTCCAACATCTATGTCCCTAGAGTCCTTGGGCGACGACCATAAAATTCTTCTTACCTAAGTTTTAATCGAATTTCAATTCCTTGTAACTGGCCCTTAAAGACCACGCAAGACCAAAAATCTAAATTGCATGTATGTATAGCCCATGGTTACTATATCAACTTTACGGCAAGTTCACACCAATCTGATTAAAATTAAGTCCACTGTTAACGTTTAAGTATCCGACACGCCAAAACGCTTTTCGATTTTTCAATTACGACCTTAATCCGGTTGATTGGCTGGTGACGTCACAGGCACTACACATAGGATATACATTATCTATACAATATCTCACTGTTTGTACAATATAGCACTATCAATACACACGGCAACTGGACAAGCGTCTATTGACAGTCCAATTACCACGTGACTGGCCTAATCATAATCACCGAATTATCGTCTTTCATTGGTATAGATTAGACATTTATGATTGGAATATTTTAGAGTGAACTTAAAATGCCGTATCATGCCGTAAATCAATTTAAGCTGCCTTTGTTTAAATAGGCCACGTGTCAAATGAAGATGACTCAAGAAATTAGCGCATTTACTGGTAATTTGGATAACCCCGTAATACTTGATATCCCAAACTTAAGTACAGAAATACAAATGGTGCCAGTCATTTGTCGATATATTCATTATTAGCTATATATACTATTCAAAAAAAGTAGGGGATATTTGATTTTTAAGTGTTATTAAAGTCACCTAATGAAACTGACGAAGGAACAAATGACAAAATGAAATGAAGTTCACATTCATCGATTTATTCCAAATGATCGTTAGACTAAGTAAGGCACAGACTGACCATTATAAGGGTAAAATGATACCCGGGGTCAAACAGCAAAGTTACCACAGCATCACAACCAAGTCAGTAACGGGTAAATCCTCCTCTGTTTGCCAAACAAGCATTGATCCGACGTGGCATACTCCTAATGAGACGTCTAAGGTCATTTTGGTCCAGATTGTCCCATTCCTGTTGCAACGCAGCAGCAAGTTCTTGGACATTGGCAGGACGTTGTTGACGTTGACGTAACCTCTGTCCAAGCATGTCCCAGACATGCTCGATGGGGGAGAGGTCGGGACTCAGTGCTGGCCAAGGTAATGTGGTGATGTTCTGTTGTTGGAGGTAACCTGTAACGATCCTGGCCCTGTGACATCTTGCGTTGTCATCCTGGAAGATGAAATGGCGGCCATGACGTCGTGCGAACGGCACAACATGGACTGCCAAGATGTTGTCCCGGTAGTACTGGCCTGTAACACGCCCTGCAACAACATGTAAAGCCGTTCTTCCAGCAACAGTGATGCCTCCCCACACCATAACAGAACCACCCCCAAATCGATCATGTCTGATGACGTTAACGTCTTGGAACCGTGCGTTTCGACGACGCCACACCCTCCTACGTCTGTCCAAAAAATCAACAGTGAACCTTGACTCATCTGAAAACATCACATTGCTCCAGCGTCGATTATCCCAGTGTTGACGATCCCTACACCAACGACGTCTTGCCTGAATGTGATGATCTCTCAAACAAGGGATCACGCAAGGACGTCGGGCGCGAAGGTGACCCCTATGCAGTCGATTCCGAATCGTCTGGCCACTCACTCTCACACCAGTGTCTGTTTGAAGACGAGCGCTGATCTGATTTGCTGTGATGACACGATTTCTCAAGGCCAAGGTACGGATAAATCGATCCTGGGCTTGAGTTGTCGCCCTTGGTCAACCTGAGCGTGGTCTGTCCTGTACAGATTGTGTATCACGGTATCTGGACCATAGCCTGCTTATGACAGACTGAGAAACATTCATCGTCCGCGCCACAACCGCCTGTGTTGTGCCGATCTGTAGCATGCCAAGGGCACGTAACCGTTCATTTTGGGTAAGCCGACGCATATCAAAATTTGTTTTCTGGTCACTAAAACAATTAAACTGATGTTTCCACCCTGGAATTCAATGCCACAATGACTGTAACATTCAAAGTCAGAGTCGTGCAAATCTTGGGTTGGACCCCCATGATGATCCCACGCATCACCTGCATTCCATGCGGTAGCTATTGGTGCGTTTGGGTGTCACATGTAACTGGAAATGTTTCTTCTGTTAGGTTCTATAGTGACTTTTTTCGTAGTCATTTGCATATTTTAGTATTATGCCCCCAAAATCAAATATCCCCTACTTTTTTTGAATAGTATATAATAATAATAACCATTTCTATACATAAAGAACAACTACAGTGAATATGGAATTTTCCGATGACTATGCATAACATGTACAATAGATCGCACTCATTTCTCTGCCAATCAACGATTGGTATCTTATTATCATGTACCGTTCCATGTACAACGGGTGTAGTAAATGAGGTTAAACTTCGCCGCGAAAATTGCACGGGATCATTCGTGGAGTTCCTCGTGCCGTTTGGTGAGTGATTAAACTGTCAATGCAATTGTAAAATACTTTTATTATAAAGAAGATAACCGATGTTAGACATTATCGTATCAAAAACGTTAATCCATCCACCAATTAAATGTTGTTTAAACGCCAATCAACAAATAATATGAGGCTACTTGATTACAAAAACACCGGTGAGCAATAATTATTGGGTATATAGTAATTTTAAACAACTTATTAGTAAAACTTAATTATTTTATACAATTAATGTGTGTGTGTATGATTCTACCATTAGTTCCTTCATGAGGTATTACGCACACGTTCCACTTCGAGTGATGTCTTTGATCTGGCCGGCGTAAAAAAAGATAATTACCTAATCAACATTCTTAATCCCACTAACACTCACTGCTAACACCAACATGTAAATTAGTTTATGACCCATGCCTGTATAACTTTTATAGTCGGATTGATTAATTAATGACAGATATTAACGACACTACACTTTATGTGGAAAAGCGAAGTGCTCGCAGTAAAAACCACATAGCTGGACCCGTATAGTATTTACATATTAAAAGTGTTCGTCCAATAAGTTCCATATTGTAAAAAATTAATTAAGAGTTCAAGACTTCACAGTTTAATCGTTGTAGGCACTCTAAATTGGATCTTAAATTAAAATGAATTACAAAACAAATTATTCCGTAGTCAATTGTTTTATTTGATTAGGGGTATTAAGGAATCCTTCAGGCGTTAAAGAATACACACGCCGGCTGTATATAGGTAATTAAGGAATAAACATTTCGAATATGCATTCGGTCACTGTGACGTCACTAGCGTCTGAGGGGATTAAGAGTGTTTTCGATAATTGGCAAAGTCGTTTTTACAGAAGGTCTATTTTTACGACTTTGAGTGAAGATAACTGAATTAATTTCAACCAGATTGGCGTGAACTTGCCGTAAAGTAGATATAGTAACCATTGGCTACACGTATCTCAAAGTTTCCAGGCCCATCTTATGTGCACTTTAATATTTTTCTTTTGACCTGTTATGTCAACCAGATTTGATTAAAACGCCAATATACATACTATACAATAATAAAGTAGTTGTATCAAAAATCATATAAACAATCTAATGTAACATTACTTTTATTTCATGCCGCCATCTTTATTGTGTAATACACATGTGTGCACTAACCCATTTCAATCCCCGGACACAAGAACAAGGTGATGTCTAACCTACCACTATGTTGCTTAGTTTTTCAGCTCTTAATTTGTTAAATGTACATAAAGAAGATAGCCACACAAAGCTTTAGAATACGCCTTCACAGCAGCTTTGTCTCAAATGCAGCTAATCCGAAAAGGAAAACTTGGGTGTTGAACAAATTTGATAAGGATCTATGATCCCTGAAGAAATAATAACTGGGGGGAAACCATAAGGTCTATCATTGAGTCAAGTGGCATGGTTTCGATTCCCTGATTGTACGTGACAAGGAGTAGGTTCGTCTGTCCAACCTCGTGGGTTTTCTCTGCATTCTGCGGTTTCCTCCTACTGTTAAAGACCCCTACCCGCAAGCGAATTATTGAAATAAAATCAAACCATATCTTAGTCCTGAAATGATCTAGTTTGTGTCGAGTGGCCGTTAAACCCTATTTCTCTCTCACTCTCTTCTGAAGAAATATAATCTCTAGGGTACATCTTCTTATGACCCCATTGTTTCCAACCAAATTTGAAAAATAAAATCTATTAAACCCTATAGCCTCTATCGCATTCACACAGTTTTCGATAAAGGGGATATAACTCAGGAAAGGAAGGCTACAGATTATGAATATCAATAGGGATTGTTGACCGCAATGCTTCAAGCCAAATATGAAAAGGATCCATTAAAAACTACAGCCTTGGCACGGTTTTTCAGAAATGGGGCATGACTCCAGAACGGAAAGTTACGGAAGGCTGCATATCAATAGGGTCTGTCCTGTCATGACAAAATTGCTTCACACCAAATTTAAAAAAAAAAAATCCACCGAAAACTACAGCCTCTATCGCATTCCCAAAGAATTCGGAAAAAAAGGGAAATAACTTAAAGTCGCAGAACGCTGGAAATCGATAGGGTTCACCATCTCATGACCACGATGCGCTTCACACGCATTCACGGGCCAAGTGTTGATGGATAAAACTGAAATATGGGTGTATAAAAATGTTTATTGGCATAATATTCCCCAAATTAACAACAGCATGCTGTTGCCATTTATTCAGTAAGATTGGCCGTTGAATCAGTTCAATAGGGATTAATTAAAAGAAACGTACATTTGTGAAAGCATTGTTCAGCAGTTTCAAAATTATTGTCGTTTCCACCACATCCACCATAAACAAACGTCTCACACATAAAAGTAGTCGAGTTATAGTACCATCTTGCGAAATAGGCTCGACACATTCCTGTTACCTTCGGTTGTTCACATACAGGTCGCATTACAATATCTAAAAGAAACACATTTATCATCTATATAATATATAATTATAGATGATCGCAGACTTTTGAAACATGATGGATTTTAAATCATTTACAAATGGTCATAATTTTTTACATTTTACAGATGGTCATAATTTTTTACATTTTACAGATGGTCATGATTTTTTGAATGTCATTTTATAGATGGTCAGGATGATAACATGTCATTTACAATCCACCAGATTGGCATGACAATGGATTATAAAATAACAGAATCTGACCTCTGGGTGTGAATGTAGGTATGGTATTATTAACAGTATTATCAGTCAGCTGTGGCAGAGGTTTGCTTGTCATGTTGTTCATACCATGTCGATATCTGGCAGTCAGTGCTTCATATCTATGGTGTTCACACCTACTCAAACCTGAAAATTATAATATCGATGTTAACAATTTAATACAATAATTAATACAATAATTAATACAATAAACAAGCAGTTGCCATGCAAGATATGCCCACATTTTTCAACAGAAGGACAGAGAACAAGCTAAAAGATAGGTTGCCAGGCAACGAAACATACCCTCACAGCAGCTTAATCGATCAAGTAGTCGACAAGGGTTGTCGCATATTTATTCTTTTGTGCGTAATTGGGGGTATTCTGTCTCTCCTGTGTATGACTTGTTTTTGTATAAGCCCGGATACGGGATTGTATATAGCTAAACCAATAATACCGGTACTTCGAATGTGCCTAGATTTGCAGATAGGTCAAGGCCGTTTAAACTTCTTATCGAAGAGACCATGTTCTTCAAAATATGTATTCTGAGAAATTACATAGTACAACTTTTGGTAAGAAAGTGAGAGTGTTATAAATGGATGTAAGTTTGTTGACTAAACAAGGCAAATAAACGACAGCGACTTGATATTAATATGATGAACGTGTGTGGTAAAAAGACTGTGGTCTTGTTTGGTATTAGACAGCATGGTTGGAGCTCAAAGGTAAACAAAGCAGCCCCTCTAGTGGTAAAGAGAGATAAACTAGCTCAGACTAAATAATGACGGATACAAACACATATTACATCCAACACAGGGGGCATTTACAAAACAATTACATACAGATCAGATTGAGAGTTCTCAAGTTTCTGAAAGCTGAGACAAGGGCCTTAACTCCAGAAGTAATTTACAGAAATTGTTGAAATTCGTCAGGTTTTTTTATTATACTAATCTGAATAATGCATTTAAATTTCAAACAGATCGGGTGATAATTTTTGTCATTCGAACGTTCACAAGATTCAACAAAGTAAAACAAGGGAAATAACTCTAGAAGTAATTGATGGAAAATGCTGAAATTCAATAGGCTTCTTTGTTTCGTTAATCTAAATGATGTCTATTAATTTTATACAGATATGACGATAACTTTCGTCCTTCGACCATTCACAAGTTTCAACAAAATAAAACAAGGGCCATAACACTAGAAGTAATTATTGGAAATTGCTGAAATTCAATAGACTTCTTCGTTTCACTAATTTAAATGATGCGTATAAATTTCATACATATAAGGTGATAGCTTTTGTCATTAGAGCGTTCACAAGGTGCAGCAAAGTGAAACAAGAGCCACAATAGTATTTTTATTATACTAATCTGAATAATGCATTTAAATTTCAAACAGATCGGGTGATAATTTTTGTCATTCGAACGTTCACAAGATTCAACAAAGTAAAACAAGGGAAATAACTCTAGAAGTAATTGATGGAAAATGCTGAAATTCAATAGGCTTCTTTGTTTCGTTAATCTAAATGATGTCTATTAATTTTATACAGATATGACGATAACTTTCGTCCTTCGACCATTCACAAGTTTCAACAAAATAAAACAAGGGCCATAACACTAGAAGTAATTATTGGAAATTGCTGAAATTCAATAGACTTCTTCGTTTCACTAATTTAAATGATGCGTATAAATTTCATACATATAAGGTGATAGCTTTTGTCATTAGAGCGTTCACAAGGTGCAGCAAAGTGAAACAAGAGCCACAATAGTATTCTTCGTGTCACTAACTTAAATGACGTATATAAATTTCATACAGATCAGATGATAATTTTCGTCATTTGAGCGCTCATGAGGTTCAACAAAGTGAAACAAGGGCCATAACTCTGGAAGAATTTAAAAGAAATTGCTGAAATATTATACGCTTCTTTGTGTTACGAATTCGAATGATGCATATAAATTTCAAACAGATTGGATAATCACTTTTGTCGTTAGAGCGTCCACAAGGTTCAACAAAGGGAAACAAGGGCCATAACTCAAGACGTAATTAACGGAAATTGCTGAAATCCAATAGGCTTTTTCGTTTCACTAATTTCAATAATGCATAAATTTCATACCGATCGGATGATAACTTTTTGTCGTTAGAGCGTTCACAAGGTTCAACCAAGTGAAATGAAATGAAAATGAAATGAAATGGAGTTTTATGGCATGTCAGCTCCAACCGGGCTATATTGCGCCAAACATGGTGAATTTAACAAGATAAATTTAAAAGAATATCACAGACATTTATATATGTAAATAAAAACAAATATCCTAGAAAGAATAATTAAAAACAAATATCAAGTTTTACATAAATAAACATTTAAAACATAACACATGATAAAATATATACAATTAAAATTTATAATAAAACTTTGTCAATTTATCATGAGCAAATAGCTGATGTACTGACTGACAATGGTAATATTTAGATCTAATATGTTTGAGATGATTGCACTCAATCAAGATGTGTTTTACTGTCAAAGGAGTTAAAAAGGTATGACCAATGCGAGAGCGACACAAAACAACTTCATCCCTCCTGCTGGTTCTATAGGAGCTTGGCCAGTCTCCTAAGAGAGGCTTAATGTGATGAAGTTTATTTGTGCCTGCAAGATCCCAAGACCGTTGCCAGCGGCCATAAATGAAATTATTTATAATACATTTAAAATCTTTATATGGCGTTAAAAATTCAGATATGGGAAGATCTAAAGCAGACTTGGCAGCCGAGTCTGCTTGATCATTCCCTTTGATATCCATATGACTGGGGAGCCAGCAAAGGACGATGTCCTTGCTGATTAACTCATTAGATAATAGCAGACTATAAATGGGTGCTCAAGCTGTTTATTGTTGATTGCTTCTAGCAAGGGCAAAGAATCAGTAAAAATTATATACTTTAAGTTAGACGATGATTGAATGAACTCCAAAGCCTGAAGAATGGCCTGGAGTTCCGCTGTAAAGATGGAAGCAGCAGGTGGAAGGCAGACAGATATGGTCTCAGATGGTGTCAAGGTAGCTGAATCTACCCGATCATCATCTTTCGAACCATCTGTGTAAATTGGAGCATAATCACCATATTTAGACCTTAGCTCTCGAAAAAGAGACTGAAAAACCGTGGAGCTAGTATCTCTCTTTTTATGTTGCGTAAGATCAAAAACGATCTTTGGGGGAGATACAGCCCACGGTGGAGTCCTAAAGAAAGGGGTATTCACAATACTGTCAAGACTGATACCAGCCTCAGACAAAAGGGGTTGTATGCGAATACCGAAAGATGGAATAACATTAGTCTTGATCAGATAGAAATGCTCATGAAGAGGTCTAAATATGGTGTTAAATGATATATGATTTGGTAAAGATGCTATTTTCGTTGCATACTGCAGGGCCAGTTTATCACGTCTGTTCCGCAATGAGGGCTCGTGCGCCTCGACGCATAAACTGTCCACTGGAGATGTACAAAATGCTCCTAAACTGATTCAAAGTCCTTGGTTGTGTATGGTGTCGAGCTCTTTGAGATAAGACTCGCGGGCAGACCCATACACAATGCACCCATAATCGAGTTTTTGATCTTATTAAAGCTCGATATAATGTCTGTAGAACCATAGCACACCTGAAAGTCATCAACATAAAGAGCGCCATTTGTACCTGGTTCAAGGCACGCTGGGATGGTATTAATTTTTATTGCAAAGAGTGTTGAAGATAAAATACTTCCCTGAGGAACCCGAATTTCCTGAGGAAATGGGTCAGAGAATATTGATCCCAGTTGACCTTAAATGACCTATCTTCCAGGAAATTTTTAATGAAGATAGGTAAGCGACCTCGTAGGCCGAGGTTATGGAGGTCGCGCATGATACCATGTTTCCATGTAGTATCATATGCTTTCTCCAGATCAAAAAATATTGCAACTAAATGTTGCTTCTGGATGAAAGCATTCCTGACGAACGTTTCAAATCGAACGAGATGATCAAGAGTGCTCCTTGAAATTACTGAAATTAAATAGGATTCTTCATCTCACTGGTGTAAACAACATATATCAATTTCAAAACAATCAGATGATAAACGTGGATGACGGACGGACGAACTGGTGGCGTATAAAAAGCGATTTTTCGTACAATCAGGGGCCATAATCCAGTATGTTACGGTCCGACATCCGACAAAATCAAAAGAAACCAAGATCTTTGGGTTATAAACAGATATTTCATTGGTAAGCTGATACCGTTGACTTATCAACCTGGGCCGTTTAGTAATGACAATTTTTATTATTAAATGATATAAGTTCATTATTATACGTGGTCATTATTATAAACTAATGTTTAATATTTATAGAAAGAGGTTAGAAATTATACAGTTAATCATTAATTAGTAGGTGTGTAACTAGCTATAAAAGATGTCACTACTGGTGTAAAAGTGTGACTATTTATGACAGCCATCACCATCAATATTGGTGTGTATCATTCAATAGTCTGATTACTACCAATTTTAATGAACTAATAAACATTATGTATATAAAACGACGTCTTTGATCTGCTAGTGTGGTATATATTCATTTATAAAAGTTGTTTGTTGCTTAGTCAACGATATCAACTTTACATTAAAACCAGCGGTTGCCAGGCAAGATAAGCCCACATTTTGCAAGAGATGGACAGAGAACAAGCTAAAATCAAGGGCGCAAGTATCAAAAGAAACCCAGATCTTTGGGATATAAACATAATCACATTTTAAGTTTAATAATTGAAATTGGATAAAAATGTGACATCTACAGGGTCCACAACCTATTTGCGTAGGGGCAGCGGCCATTTTCTCGGGTAGTTTTGGCCCAATTTTCATGAAATTCGAACTCAACTGTCATATCATGGTTTAACGGTGATACATTTAAACGTTTTTTTTTTAAATCGGATAAAAACTGCGACCTCTAGCGAGGAATTACATGCAAAAAACGCAATTTTTTTCGAACAATCAGGGGCCATAATCCAGGAAGTTATGGTCCGATATGGGCGAATAACGACAGGAACCTAGATCTTTGTGATATAAACACATGTGTTAAGTTTCATCAGAATTGGATAAAAATTGTCACCTCTAGAGGGTCCACACAACCTTGGTATTACATACTTTAATACTATTTGCGTA